AAATCATGATAATTGACAACATAAAATATTTCAAAAATGTTGTATGTGGGTAGTCTTATTATGCCTTAAATAGCGTCAAAGAAAGTACAGGTTTGTGATCAAAAAACTTATTTCTTTATCCACGCAAACAATCGCTTCAAAAACTCGGTTATTAGCCCCAAAATATACCATTTATATTATTGGGCCCGTGCATAGCATGGGCAACATTATCTAGTTATATATATAAGAGCATGATGTAACAAGTCAATTGAGAAATTGTTTTAAAAAAAAGTTATAATCCTAAATCAAATAGCAAAAGAAGTTTGGTTCAATTAAATTTTTTGATTTAGTTATAATAATGCATATGATAAGGTTTGACAACATTTGAGTTGAATTTGAAAAAATAATATTTAAAAGCTAAAATCGAAAAGAGATCTGAATATTTGTTTAATTAAATGAGAAAATATTATTAATAACTAGATAAAATATTATTAATGAAAATCATAGCAACATACATGATAGTAGCATTATTAAAATAAAATAAAAGGCAAAACAAGAACTCAACATCTCAATAATATAAATTTGAACTTTCTAGGACCCTAAACCCTAAACTTTGAACCCTAACCCGGAACTTGAACCCTGAATCTTGAACCCTGACCCTGAATACTGACCTCAACCTTGACTTGACCCTGAACTCTAAGCCCTAAATTCTAAAGCCTGAACCTGAACCCTGAACCTGGATTTGATAACCTAAGATGAATTATCTATGATTTTATTCAAACTTCACACTCCACAAGATCCACATCCCAATGAGGATGAAACAATTAATTGGTTCAAATGGTAGTGCATAGTAAAACTAGCAACATTTAACCATGCTTCAAACTTGGACACTTCATCTTCATTAAGTTGCTCAATTGACTCCCACCAACCTTTCTGTCTAGTTTCTGTCATTTTGTCAAAATAATTTGTTCGATCAATTTCAACTTTTTCTTTGATGTCAAGTTCTTCAAGCTTTTTTTTGAGTTGATTCACCGAATTTCGAGCAAAAACCATGGCTCGATGAGTGTCATCACTTAACTGCATATCAGGATTCTGAAAACGAGAAACGACTGCATCAACTATAGGGTGAAAAAATGAATGAGGCTTACCAGTAGGAGAAAACACTATTATTCCAATGTCAACATCAAATTCTGTAACGAGTTCACTAGCTGTTTTGAACAAACCCAAATGGCGCTTTGAAAATGAAGTTAACAGGGCCTTTTCATTTTCTATTTTTCTCATTGGTATCTTTTGACGTCCTTTAGTCTTCTTATTCTCCATGGCTAATTGATAAAAAACGATTTATGAAATGTTTTTAGTAAATGATACTTATGAGAAGACGATATCGCGGCTATTTATATACGTTAATTTTTTTTATCAAAATAGCACATAATTATATTTCTTTTATAAATAAAAATAATATCTTCATCATAGAGAAAATTAGTAAGTGGAATCAATTTTATAATTTATCAACTTGTAGTTAGAATTTTTTTGTGTAAAAGGCAAATCAAACTTTCCATTTGCATTAACAAAAATAAACCTTAAATTTAATCATAATAAAAAAATGTTAATATAAAAGTAATCTAAACTTTAACCATAATAGGAAAATATGTTAATGTAAAACTAAAGATAACGTTAAACGGTAATAGGAAAATATGTCAATATAAAACTAAATCTGAAATTTAACCATAATAGGAAAATATGTTAATATAGAACTAAATCTAAAGTTTAACCATAATAGGTTAATATGTTAATATAGAACTAAATCTAAAGTTTAACCATAATAGGTTAATATGTTAATATAAAACTAAATCTAAAGTTTAACCATAATATGAATATATATTAATATAAAACTAAATCTAAAGTTTAGCCATAATAGGAAATTATGTTAATATAAAAGTCAATCTAAAGTCTAACCATAATAGAAAAATATGTTCATATAAAACTAAATCTAAAGTTTAACCATAATAGGAAAATATGTCAATATAAAACTAAATCTAAAGTTTAACCATAATATGAATATATATTAATATAAAACTAAATCTAAAGTTTAACCATAATATGAATATATATTAATATAAAACTAAATCTAAAGTTTAACCATAATATGAATATATATTAATATAAAACTAAATCTAAAGTTTAACCATAATATGAATATATATTAATATAAAACTAAATCTAAAGTTTAACCATAATATGAATATATATTAATATAAAACTAAATCTAAAGTTTAACCATAATATGAATATATATTAATATAAAACTAAATCTAAAGTTTAACCATAATATGAATATATATTAATATAAAACTAAATCTAAAGTTTAACCATAATATGAATATATATTAATATAAAACTAAATCTAAAGTTTAACCATAATAGGAAAATATGTTAATATAGAACTAAATCTAAAGTTTAACATAATAGGAAAATATATTAATATAAACTAAATCTAAAGTTTAACTATGATAGGAAAATATGTTAATATAAAAGTAAATCTAAAGTTTAACCATAATAGAAAAAATATGTTCATATAAAACTAAATCTAAAGTTTAACCATAATAGGGAAATATATTAATATTCTTAATGAAATCTATCAAGTCTGGTAGACAATAATGAACAGAGGATTATAATTGGAAATGATATAAATTACGGGCCTATAAACTTTGAAATATTACAGCAAAATCAAATCATTAACATGTGTTAATGTCAAATAGATTGATTTAAATAAGATTCAAAAATCTAGCTTTAATAATAAATATATCAATGAAATACAATAATAAAAAAGAAAATTTCTATGTATTAACATTACAAATAAGAATTTTTTGGTTACAATCCAAAATTGTCATCTAAGGAGTGGCAAAATCAAACCCAACAAATATAACCCGCTCAAGTTTGTGTGGTTTATTGACCCACTAAAAAATGGGTTGATATGTAACCTGAATTGGCTCATGAGAAATGTTGTCAAAATATTTTAATTTTATTTTTCAATTTGATATGTTATATATAACCATAATAAAGAGAAAAAAATATTAGGTACTAAAATGGTTTAAAAGAACAAATAAAACAATAAGTTCAGTAAAGTTTGGATTGAGTTGGGTCTTGACCCGTTATATAACCCACTACTTAACCCGTTTTGACCCAAGCAAATTTGGGTTGGGTTGGGTCTGATCCTGATTGTTGACTTAACCCATTATGACTCACCCAAATTTGACTCAACGCATTCAATTCACTTATATTTATACTAACCTATCGATAGTCAAGTCGATCTACCCTAATTGAATATCTATCATACGCGAAAATAGAATTTTATATTCAAGCTTCCAATATTATTTAAACATAATATTAAGAAAACAATAAAAAAAAACTGTCCATATTACCCCTGACTAGAGAAGCAAGCATGTTGACGAACAACCACAACCCTAGCCTCTTATATACTAGATAGCTAGCACGGGCCAACATTTACATATTAAACTGGATAGTTTAAAGGTGAAAAATAGGATCTGGTTGTTATTTTTAGACTCTATTTTAGAAGATTGATAAATTATTTATTGTTTAGCCTTGACTCAAATTTCAAACAACTATTTATCTATGATTTTTAAGTTTTAAGCCATATTGTTCTGAATTTCAGTTTTTCATGTGCAAAATTTCATAATTCTATATCCTCATGTTCATTTTTTTAGTTTAATATTTCAGATGAGTTGAATTGTTCAGTTCAAATTTCAAGAAATTGTATCCCTAAATTATGTATTTTCACTTCAAAACTTCTAATTGCAACTTATAAGTAAAAAGTATTAATCAAAATTTAACACTGTCAATTTTGCTATTCTAAGCTTCGATTGTTCAGTTCAAAATTTAGAACATTATTATCCTAAATTTCAGTTTTCAATTCAAAACATCATGACATTGTCATAAATATTAGTTTTCCAATTTAAAATTAGTATATTATATCCTTATGTTTGATCTTGAAATGTTCATCATGTAGCTCAAACTTCATGATTTTAATATGACAAAATACATAAAATCCCCATTAAACTTAAAGCTTATTTTGAAGTAGACACTTAAAGTTTGCGGAAGTCCTATTACCCCATTAAACTATTTTTGACCAGACTAAATATAGCATTTTGACCTGCTTCCACATTTGCTGTGTTTTCACGTTTTCGGAGCGCATGAGTGTTTAAAAAACAACCCCAAACCAATATAAAGCAGCCATGTGACATTGTAAATTGAATTCTTTATTTAAAAAGAATGACCCATCTTCCCCAAAATTAATTCAAACACCATTGACAACTATTGAAGCTTGCTACAGTGTCATGGCAAGTAAGGACTGCAATATCTCTCTAAATTCGATTCACTTTCGCAAGATGAGTACTACATTAATTCATCAACAACCTTTGAATTTCTGACTTTTCAATAAAACCCATTTTCAGAAAGAGAATACCACACGCAAATGCTAACTTCTCCTTAGTCCACTGATCTTCATTCAGTACTTCATATATTATTCAAAAATTGAAGAAAAACTACCCAAAAACGCAGACTAAACACACAAAAAGCAAAAAAATAAATAAATAATTAACCTCAAAAATATTTATTGTTCATACTCCACTAGATTCTCTCAAATCACCCTCATTAACCGATACAAATAAATTAAAACTCATCAATATAAATTTGATGTAAGAATTGAAACAGCCCAAATAATGAAAAGTGCATCAATCTTACTTCAGATTATTCAATCTCACAATTTCGAGAAGAAAAGATAATTAAAAAAAATTGATTAGGAGGAAATGTCAAAATGTGAGCGGGTCAAGGTAAAAACCCGGCCTTCATAATAAACAGGTCGAAAAATATAAATAATTGTATTATTTTATTAGGGGTGAGAGACACGTGTGGAGAATTGGAGTAGAAGGGTAATAGGACTCCCGTAAACTTTAAGTGTCTACTTCAAAATAAGATTTAAGTTTAATGGGGACTTTATGTATAAACTTGATTGACTGAAACTGTAGGAAAACTTATTTTAGACTGCACACATTTTAGGTACATCATTACAGGGTCCTTGGGATGCAATATCAATATATAGCAGAACATGTATTGATGGAGAAAGTAGTAAAGAAAAGGAAAAGAAAATTCACCTCTAACGCCAGTTGATCAAATATTTCTTCAATAATTGCTCCGTACTACTCTGTCTGAACTATATCGCATCACAAGTTATTTGCTTCTGCAAATTGCTGACAACAGAAATATGCCTTACATGGGGACCAATCTGTAAAACTCAACAAATTAGAAACCACAATTAAAAGGGCAACTGCATCAATAAAACAACAATAACATACCTACAAAGTGGGGACTGAGAATGATAGCATGTATATAAACCTTACCCGGCCACTATCTTACAAGCGGCAAAGTTGTTTTCAATTGACCCTCGACTAAAGGAAAAACAAGCTCAAAAAAGAAATAACATAAGTACAAGAAACATAAGATGATAACAAAAAACAATAGATAGTAATAGAACAGAAATTACAATACAATAATCGAGGTACATGAAACAATAGAGAGTAATAGAAATCGAAGGACAAGAAACTACCAAAGCAATACTATAACTACTAAGATAATATTATGCAGTATAAGACATCAATATAAAAGGTAATGATTCTTTAACATAAACAATATTTGGGCTGTAATTCTTCTATTGGAACTAATCAAATAATTTATCACGGTTTTCGCAGATGAGTGTTTTACATATCGAACAGACAAATTGTATAAGAAGTATGATCAAAGTCACTAAAACACTTCGTTTAACATACAAAATGGATGTTTAAGTTTTTCAGGAAATCTAGGACAAACTATTATGTAGATTAATAAAATTTGATCTAAGGAGTCAAAACAAACTTTAAAATGACCTGATGCACACTTTATTATTCCAGATTATTCGAAGTAAAATACATAACTATTGTCCATCCACATTAAGAGCACAATTTGGATTCTGAAATTGTTGCCAAACACCTTTATTTGTTATTAGACCATTGATACAGGTAAAAGGAATTTAAACTTTAGGCCCAGGGAAAGCTATATTGCTCAAGCTCTTCAAAAATGTCACCAGTTGCGTGTCCAGCAGAGGTGAAACAATAACAATTTTGAAAAGTCAAGTAACATAGAAAAGGGCTATCAAACCCTCTACAACAATGACTATGCCTCCACCCGAGCAAGTTGGGAGGTCGGATATAAGAGTTTTGAATGATCATGCCGTTTCATATAAGCATATTTCATTCCAAAATGACTACTAATCCTTTACACGGGAAAAAAACTATACTTAGCTTGAAGAATACTCTGAGGCAGAGGCAGAGCTACTGGCTTGTCCACAGATAGAACAAAATGAAGTAGCTTTGGCCCAAAACTCAATAGGTTATATTTTTAAGAATCCAGAACTCATAACCTCAAAATTCTAGCTTCACCTATACTCAACAGGATCATTTTAAAGTGTAGAATACTATATGAAGATTACTATATCTGTAAGTGGATGATATTGAAGAATCAAATTCTTTACAACTTCATTCTTGCTAAAAGAACTTGATTCATGTTTTCATCAATTAAGAAAGGAATTATTCTGTAGAAGAGGAAAAAAGCAAGGCAAAACAGAATTCTATCAATTTATCAAACATGTTCCACTGTCAATGAAGTCTATGACAAACTACACTTCGACATGTAATTAGGACTTATCTTTGAAAAATGGAAGTAAAGAATAACCTGGTGAAGAATAGTCGTCTCTTGATGTTTTGCCAGCGAGCATACAACGTCTAGGCCTCTAGTGGTATGTACTCTGGTCTCTAGATATGCCAGCTTGATGAAGATTCAGGAAATATCAATGAAGCTGAAATTGCAGCATTAACAAGCTCCACTAATTTAGTAAGAAATTGACGGTGATGACATTGAAAAGATTATCTTTTTCGAGTCTGAGAAAAATAGGTAATCCGAAGGGAAAGAGGAGCGGTAAAAAACATCAAGCAAAACTTGATCAACACTTTCAAGCGAGATACATATTTATTTCTATTTTCAAACATGCATGAGCAAATTACCCTTATAGTTAATGATATGCAAACCTAAAAATCCAAAGAAGAATGAAAATAGCTGACATTATAGGTCCTTTTTCAAGAGTTCAATACATTAGGAGGAAAGTTGTGGGAGAAGGGGAAGAAAAAACTTACTGTATCCAATGAATACATCAACACAAAAGAGAAATTTGAGGCGAAACAGAGATTCCAAACGAATATGGAGTGAAGAGTCTCAGAGCAGGAGACTTGTCGATGTAAACGATGAAGAAAGAAAAAGTGGATACATAGCACACATGTTAATGATACAGAATATTCACAAGATCAAAACAAATCAAGTAGCAAATCTTGCTCAATCAAAATCCCATGAAAGCAGCAGTCAAATCAGATTAGTGATAGTAATTGATTCTAATATATCAGATCACTTGATTTTAGGGATTATATGAAATTGTAGTTGTGTATATATATATACATGTACTCTACAGTAAATAAATGGAGTTCTTATTCTCACATATCAAGTTTTTTACATGGTATTACATATAGCCTTTGCTTAACCGCAATCTCGATCCAACCTCTCTTTTCTTCCTTCCTCCATGGATACTGATCCAAAGTCACCAGACAACTCATCTCGTGCTACAGTCACCAACACTCCCAACATAACATCACACTTGGGTGAGGTGCTTGTATGCATTAATACTGCTGCACAATTACCATTGAAACTGACTTCCACCAACTTTGTTTCTTGGAAAGCCCAGTTACACTCTCTTCTCATCGGATACAATCTCATGGGGTATATCTGTTGGAATGTATGCATCCACTAGTCTAGATGGGACCAGGTCCTCAACACAGTTACAATAACAGAAAATAAACAAAGTGCTGAAAGTAAAGATTGCACAACAACTTTACGTGGAAACCTCCTTGCTCAAGGGAGTAAAACCACGACCTGGCCTGCCAGGACTTTTCAAACTTCTTTCACTAATCTTCTCCAAGCAAAAGTAAAAGCAAGTTTACAAACCGAGATTAGACTACTAATCCCAACTCTAAGCAATACCTCCTAT